CCCCAAAACCCCAAAACCCCAAAACCCCAAAACCCCAAAACCCCACCAAAGATAAGGGAGTTTGAAATTTCATAGTCTTTTGGAATTATAATAATTTACAAAATTGATAAAAATGTCATCGTCAGGTACAGTTCCTAATGGGGATGAGAGTGGCTCTAACAATACCTCTTCCCTTAAGGATGAAATCGGGGATGATTCCATCCTAAACAGGATCGATTCAGACACTTCATACGTCAAACCAGCCCTTGGCGACAAGAGGCTATCCCACATGACAGAAGTTCCTTTTAATAAACTTGGGACTCACATTCCAAAAACAGCCAAGCTCGATGAGAATAAAGATCAGGAGGAAGGAGATGGAGCCTACCTCAATATGCCAACTGAGGCAAATTTCATGAGAAGGGGTACTGTCTTCGAGTCCCTCATCGGAGGCTTTGGCTCTATAGATATAAACAGCCAAAAAGATAGCTCTGTTAAGGTTGTAGGCAATGCAACGAGTAAGTCATCAGTCCCAAAATCTTGAATTCTGATTTTTGTTTCTATAGAAGGACTAGGAGTCTGTAAAACTTTTCAACAGTCTTCTAGAAAGAGTGGGTCTGATAAAATGGACTCTAAGTCTGGAATTCGACCTGGAGAGCATAGCTATATATCTAGTGTTAAAGACGCAGACGAAGGCGAATCAGTAGATGAATCTGATTGCTCTGAGGACTCTTATACTAAGAGAAAGACTAGGATTTGTTTCTGTAGAGCTCACAGTCAGATCAAAATTAAATGGGAGATCCTTATTATGCTACTAGCAACTATAAATTGATTCCAGGTTCCTTACAATGTTGCATTCTCTGATGAAGCTAAAAGTAATGTTTGGTATGATCTTTTTAACGGACTCATTGATGTCTTCTTTATGGCAGATGTTGTGGTCAACTTCAGGTCATCTTACATCAACGAAAGCACAGGTGAAGAAATTACAGAATCTAAAAAGATAGCACTAGATTACCTCAAAGGAAAGTTTTGGATAGATCTTCTTGCTTCAATTCCCTTCGATTTCTTAAGTTACGGACTTGATGGGCTTAATGACAACGGAGCAATTCTTGATTTTGTCGGAATGCTGAAATTAGTCAGAGTCTTGAGACTTTCGAGGTTGATTACTTATCTGAATCTTAAAAACGAGTTGAAGATGTCTTTGAAACTGTTCAAGCTCATTTTCTTCTTATTTCTGTACCTACACTGCCTCTGCTGATTATGGTTTTATATTGTCAAAGTTGACAAGAAATGGATCCCTCCATTAGATTATGTGTTTATCACTACGAACTTGTTTGAAGACGGGGCATGGTTCCAGTATTCAAACTCCCTATACCATGCAGTGCTCATGCTTGGTGGGAATGATGTAGGGCCAAGAGGAAGCTTCCAGCTCCTATTTGTGTTCGTCATTCTGATTTTAGGTGCTATAATTAATGCTAATATTTTTGGTAATATGGCTGTGTTAATATCAGCTTATAACCGTAAGGCTTCCATTTTCCAGGAGAAGCTTGAAACTGCAAACGAGACTATGAAGAACCTCAAGATACCTGTAAATATCCAAGATGATGTAAAATCATATTTAACGTACACCCAGAGCACTCTTGATCATCAGAATGAGTTGGATAAGTTCTTGACCATGCTCTCACCTAGTCTCAAGAGGGAGATCAGTCGTCATATTAACTTGGATGCGCTAAACCAGAACCAGGTGTTTAGTAACAATGAAGAAATTATTAACGCGGTTCTTAATGACCTTGATACAAAGCTCTTCCTACCTGAAGATGAAATAATAAGACAGAACAGTGTAGGTGACTGAATGTACTTTATTGCTAAAGGAGAATTTGATGTTTTCGTAACTGACGAAAATAAAATGGCAAGATTCACCAGCTCCCTTAAAAATGGAGATTACTTCGGAGAAGTAGCGTTATTAAAATAAGTGCAAAAGGACAGCAACTGTGAAGAGCAAGAATTACTCTACCCTTGCAGAGCTGAATTCTACAAAGTTCCAACTACTTATCGAGAGGTATCCCACTATTAAAGAGTCTATGCACTGCTATCTGAGGATTCAATATAATGATAAATGGAAGAAGTTTATGAAAAGATCTCTTCGCAACATTGACTATCTTAACATGAGCATTTCGGACGAAATCGTTGAGGAGTTGGCATACAAATTAGACAAGACTGCTGCGACACAGTCTTCTGTTATTTTTAAGGCAGGAAATCCTTGCAATGACATCCACATCATCACTAGCGGAGAATTAGATGTATATGTAAATAATAACAAGAAGGATATCTATTTAGACACTCTGTACACAGGATGAGTTATTGGATCTTATAGTGCAATCACCTCTGAGTACTACTCCATAACGGGAATTGCGAAGACAGATGTGGAGTTACTCAAACTTAGAGTAGAAGATCTCTACGATATCAGGCAAGAATACGACGATCTTGATATGATTATATCAGAATATGAAGCTTACTGTGACGAGTATGGGCTTCCTTACTGAGACTACAAGTTGCATCGAAATAAAAGTCTGAATATGACACCTATTGAGAAGTTTCGAGCAGGAATCAGGAGAATTATTAGGATTGTCAAATCTTATAAATCAACCGCTCTCACAGACTTGCTCAAGCAAGTGAGAGAGAAGATCAAGGAGAACAAGAGAAATAAGGAAGACCAGAGAAAACTCAGGATGCGTAGGAGATCTCACCTCTCCGCAACAGAGAAATCAGAGCAATCTATGATTGCTCTCACGGAAAAAGTTGAAAGGTTGAAGGACTGCGTTGAAGAGCAGGCTACTCAGATTGAAAATCTCCAAACAACTCTGATCTCAAAGATGGAAGAGCTAAGCTTAGTCCGTTTATCTTCGACTAGTTGTAGCAAGTGAGGATCCTCAGATGATGAGGATGTCCCAGTTATCAAACTGAAGAAGAAGAAGAGTAAATAAAAGGAAAAAGAAGGCTAAGGAAAATTTGAATAACTCAAACCTATCAGATTCCTCATTGCCAGCCAACGAGCAAGTGAATAAAATAGAAAAGAGGAGCAAGAAATAGCCCTGAGGTTGTGAAGCTTCCAACTGTGGAAAAACCACCTAAATTAGAGCAGAAGAGAGGATCTTTGCCTAAGCTAAAGACAAAGAAACACAAGTCTTCTGGTAAGAAGCGAGACTCCTTTGGATCTTCAGGTATTTTAGCTGTACTAACTTTTTAGTCCGATTCAAACTTGAAGAAGAAGAGGAGGAAGAAGACTCTGATGACCAGAACTCTGAGTTTACAGTGAAGCTGAACAACAAGGTTATTCATAAGATCGATATCAATAAAAAGAAGGTAGGATTTGTCTTGGATGAAGACTTATCGCCTGAAGAGCTAAGAATTCCTGATAAAGATCACTTAGAAGGTAATCTCCAGGAATTAATTTTAGGCATGAGCGAGGATAATATGATAGAGCAGTCTCCTTACTTTGGTGATAACAAGTTACCTCTTCTGAGCAAGACCCAAAAAGCCCATGACCCATTTCTGACTAGTGAGAGAGCCTTTGTCAAAGTAGGTATTATGTATGATTCTTAGGTAAATTCAGTAAAGAAGAAGCGTAGAAGAAAAGATTCAGTCATTGAATTAAATAATATGAGTCTATAGATTTCATAGTTTAATATTTCAATACTAACTAAGATATTTGGGGTTTTGGGGTTTTGGGGTTTTGGGGTTTTGGGGTTTTGGGG